GACCACTTTTATTCCTAATGTTCATCAATGATTTGCCACAAGTAACAAATGCACGTTGTCTATTTTATGCCAATGACAGACCCATCTTCGTATCTGGTAACAATCGTGGCTCATTGCAGAATAAACTAAACGCTAACCAAGCTGGTGTTCATTCATGGTGTGTAAAAAACATTAACCCATCTGAGACAGCATTTATGCTATTCGACAAGTTCGTCAAAAAATCTGCTGATTCATCCTATTGCAGTTTCCTTAAATAACGATGTGATTTCAAGATCCACGACGATAAAATTTCTCAGTGTTGTTCTAATGACAATCAGAAGTTACACTATCATGCACAATCACTTATTAAAAAAAACAACTCATTCTGCATTCATGTTATTATAAGAACTCGCTTTTTTTTCTTCTGGACATTCTCATGTCTTTATACTATGCATACATCATTATAAAAATTCGCTATTTTTTCATCTGGACATTCTCATATCTTTATGCTATGAGTATATACACAGTTACCTCTCATACTGCCTTTCACCCAGGGTTAATACATATTGCACAGATCTTCATCATCTAGAAATTTTGCAAAATCAGGCATTACGATTGGTTACATTTCAACATCACACATCTCCCTCTGCTCCAATATTCCGTTTTGTAAACGTTCTACCCTTGCGCATGATATTCCATCATAAGGTGTCACTACTAATGTTTCGTCTTATCAATACCGATCTCAATATTCCAGGTTTTACTAACTCCAGCTTCATCAATAACAATAATTGAAAATTTTAAAAGCGACTTAATCTACTCCTTCCTAAAGTTAGAACAAATTATGGGCAATTTACTGTTGCTTTTTTAGGCATTTCAATTTAGAATTCACTGTCATCGGATATAAAGCCATCTTCATTATTCTCATTGAAACGTAAAGCTAAGGATCATTTCATTAACACTTTGTTGGACACATAGAATTCAATAGGTTTTGTCTACCCTGCTACTTCGCAATGTGCTGTTTGCCACATCGAAGTGTTTCACCTTTGCCCATTTTGACACATATTCGCGTGTGTAGCTGTTCATGCCACTATTCCTTGTTTGAATTATTTGTGTGATTTATTCTATCTGACTTTGTTAAAATTATTTTATCATTTACGATTGTGATTGTGTTGGTTGGCTTTTTGATTTTTCATTATTTATGAATATTTTATCCTTTATTACTAAAGGTACGGAAACTATATAAAATAAATGACTCACTGTTCGTCTAGTTGCCTGTAAACCCCCATTTATGTTTTGTGAGGAGGTACCCCCGAGAGTTTTCACTCCGGAACCTGTGAAGTTGCACTTTTTGTCCACCTTGTAATCGCGTCAAGTTTAAAAACCACCACTGCAACCACAATTGATGTGTGATATGTGAGGTTTAACGCCCCAAAACCACCATATGATTATGAGAGACGCCGTAGTGGAGGGCTCCGGAAATTTCGACCACCTGGGGTTCTTTAGCGTGCACCCAAATCTGAGCACACGGGCCTACATTTCCGCCTCCACCGGAAATGCAGCCGGCGCAGCCGGGATTCGAACCCGCGACCGGCGGGTCAGCAGCCGAGTACCTTATCCACTAGACCACCGTGGCGGGGCCCGATAATGTCTTTTGCATAAATAAAATATCAAAACTTGTCTTTTCGATAACCCACGCCCTCATGGTTCGAAAACGAGTGTCTTTACCACTATGCTACACACCCATTCGGGCACGAAAGGAATACATCTACAGCACATCTAAACTACATGAATTTGTACCCTTTGTCCAAAATAAATGCAGAAAAACAACGCTTTCTAGTCACATTTTACTGATTTTTTTTTTGGTAAAGCATTAAACGTCCTCAGTGGGACACGTTGCAAAACGGATGTGGAAAATTGCACAAATCAATATAGTTTTTTTTTCTTTGCAAAAATTCCATTCCAAACTTATGTTTTCATTGATTTCCCGAGGCAGCTATTATATGCCGTGACAGAAGAGTGGATGGATGGATGGATGGATGGATGGATGGATGGATGGATGGATGGATGGATGGTGGATGGAGGATGGATGGATGGATGGATGGATGGAGGATGGATGGATGGATGGATGGATGGATGGATGGATGGATGGATGGATGGAGGATGGATGTGGATGGATGGAGGATGGATGGATGGATGGATGGATGGATGGATGGATGGATGATGGATGGTGGATGGATGGATGGATGGATGGATGGATGGATGGAGGATGGATGGATGGATGGATGGATGGATGGATGGCTGGATGGATGGGATGGATGGATGATGGATGGATGGATGGATGGATGGATGGCTGGATGGATGGATGGATGGATGGATGGATGGATGGATGGATGGATGGATGGATGGATGGATGGATGGATGGATGGATGGATGGATGGATGGATGGATGGATGGATGGATGGGATGGATGGAGGATGGATGGATGGATGGATGGATGGATGGATGGATGGAGGATGGATGGATGGATGGGATGGATGGGATGGATGGATGGATGGATGGATGGATGGATGGGATGGATGGATGGATGGATGGATGGATGGATGGATGGATGGATGATGGATGGATGGATGGATGATGGATGGTGGAGGATGGATGGATGGATGGATGGATGGATGGATGGATGGGATGGATGGATGGATGGATGGATGGATGGATGGATGGATGGATGGGATGGATGGATGGATGGAGGATGGATGGATGGAGGATGGATGGCTAGGATGGATGGATGGATGGATGGATGGATGGATGGATGGATGGATGGATGGATGGATGGATGGATGGATGGATGGGATGATGGATGGAGGATGGTGGATGGATGGATGGATGGATGGATGGATGGATGGATGGATGGATGGATGGATGGATGGATGGATGTGGCTGTACCCTTTAGATCGGGCGGTGGCTAGCGCCACAAAGCCGTAATACCTAATGAGCCTGGAATAAGCCTGGAATAAGGTGTGTAGCCTTAGTGGAAGCGAGCATGGGCGCGCCATCTAGCGGTTGATCAGGGCCTATCTTGCTGGGCAGCGAAGAGGCCCGAGTGGCCACTCTTTATATTTGCTTCCCTATGCGGTGGCGGCTCGCTTTGCCCCGATTTAAAAGATAGCATCTCTTGTTTCAGTGGCGAACCGGTGCCGCACACACCATTAAATCCGTTCTTTACACGTGCCTCGAGGAAAGAACGCGCGTAAAAAAAAAAAAGACGCTCGTGCGCGTAACACTGAACACAATCTTGCTACACAGAACGCGTTGGTTCGATCCTCACCGAGGACCGATATTCTTCATTAGTGATTTATTTATTTACAGCTACGCAGTGTTCCCGCTCGTGTACAACGCTGTAGTTTTTGTGTTCCACCAACGACGCTTACGTAGACACCAAAACCGGAATTCCTGCCAAAGGATATTTTAACACTATGGCGCGTTAAACGACTCTATGCGCGTGGTCTGTGAAGCGAGCAGCGCGCACATGTAACCGCCGCCATGACCCAGTCGAATTGAGCGCGTCGCGGATGGAAGAAAAAAAGCGGTGCCTAGCGCGAAACGCTACGTATAGTCACCTCGTTCGCGGCGATTAAAAAGATATGTGAAAAATTAAAGGACGTACATGTGGACTCACCACGTCAGTTGGCACGGCAATTCAGTTTTATCTAATTGTGGTCGTCGCTCACACGTCTTGACTTATTATAGGCAGACGGGTGTAGACACGCTAAAAATGCCCACAATACAAAAAAGAAATGCTTTGAATTTAATATTGAAGTTTTTGTGGGAGTGCTTCAAAGTGTTTTTATTGCTCTGCACAGTCGTCGCCTGCGTCGCTTGGTCTGGTACTGCAAAACTCTATTGCGTAAGATGTGATCACTGATGACGTCTCGGAAGATCATTCACGTACTTAAAAGACTTCTCGTATAAATGTGTTAATGAGAACGTTCCCGATAAACTTGTAATACTCACTTAATCATATTCATTGCTGGGGTTTTAGATGACAAAACTAATATATCATTGCAAGGCACTTGATATGAAGGGCTCTGCGTATTTCGACAAGCTGGTGTTCTCCAACTTGCGCCTGCAGCCAAGTACGCGGGTATTTAGCGTTCCCCTCTACACCGAGACCACCGTGACTGAAATCGAACCTACGACCTTTGGTCTGCTGCTGAAGAATTATCGTTTGAACGTAAATTGCAAGTATGTATCTATGAGGCTATTGTTGGAGCCTGTGTCCCATACCGGCATTGAGTTCTGTTGAGCCCAAGTTTCTCATTCTATCTCCGGTCGGCTCTGATTAGCTACTGATCACACAAGCAGGGTGCCTACTTTTTGTGCGTCAGAAAATAACACTCTTGTTTATGAGCAGCAGTTATTCACTAACAGTAACTTCAAACTTTATTTCATCGTCGTGGAGAAACCCTTCCGACTTCAGTGTTAGCAGTTCCGTCTTGAAGTGCATGCCGGCAAACGGAAAGCCTGACAGTATTTTCTGCATGGGGCGATCCTTGTCTTGTTCGTCGTGGAGCACCGACACGCTGAAGGCTGCCGACAATAGGTGCGACGATTCAAGGAAGCCGCCACACTCTATACTGAGTATCAAACACTCAATTCCACTTCTCTTCCCGGATGAGAAGTAGATCGCGAAGTACGTGTCTCTATCGTGGCACTGAGTTACAGTTGCGAACTTGCGACACGGTCCTAAACGGTCCAGTAACACGGAGGCATTTCTGACGGTCGCCATGTACGTCTTGCGTTCATACGCTCTTCCGTGGAGGAGTGAACTGGACAGTGTCCTGTTCAGCACGTGACAGAACGATGGTCCTACCGGCCTGCAAATAACGGTAGGCGTTCTCTGGTCCGCATGCTCTCCCTGACACACGTCTTCAAGGGAGGCAATGATCGCGTGGAACAGGAGCTCCAACTTGCGCAGGATAAGCTTTTTCTCTATGTTCCAAGGTATGAAGTGATGGGTGACTTCACAGGAAGAATCCACAGCGCTCTTTTGGAAACCGTTCCTCCTTCGAGGAGTCGCGTAGGTTTTCCAAGAGTGACGACATCGACGACACACCGCCAACAAGTTGGGCCAGTTCATCTCTCAGCGTTCGCTCTAAATCACCAATCAAGCGGGCGATTTCGAGCACCTGCGCGTCTTGCTTCTTCGAGTGTTCCACGATTTCTTTGAGTTGAGACTGCATGACGGCCAGTTGGTTGTGGTCGATCAGCGGGGTCTTGAAGTCACTCACCGCAGCGTTAAATTCGTGCCTGGCCAGCGTTTGATCCTGCGAAGGTGGTGGCTGCGTGCTCGCAGAAGCGGTCTCCGCTAGGCAAGTGGTGACGCAGTGTTCGGGTAGGTCTTTGTGCAGCAGTGTGACGTCACACCGTGGGCACTCGATTACGTGAAAACTGCAGTCTCGTTCGAAGTGCAGCAACAGAGCGTCCAGAGAACCCACGAACCCACAGCCCGCGGCTTCATTCCAGCAGTGAGCCTAAAAGAAACAAGAAAAAAGAACGGACACGAGGACTTAGTGAATGTACTGTCGCACATCAACAAAATGTGTAAGGTGCCCATGTATTCTTTGCGATTGTCTACTAGCGCAAAATGGCATTAATTAGGTGGTACATTATAGTGCACTATATGTGCAGTTAATACTGCACATATAGTGCACTGTAGCCTAACTTTGGTTACATAAGGGCCAATGGCTCACCGGGTTTCGTTAAAATAATTCATATGGCTAACAAATCTAAAATTCAAGCTAGGAAGGCTCACGAAAGTGTCGAGTTCGCAGGCGTCGAACAAGAAGTTGAATGAACTCGTGGAAGACAGAGTACGTTGGATATCATTGGGAGAGACTGCGTCCTGCAGTGGACACAACACATGCTGACGAAGATGACAGAAATAGGAAGTCACGTAGATTCAACAACAACAAGAACAAGAACAAAACACAGGAACAAGCACGCAATACGAAAATCCGTGCGATCTTTCTTTCGATAAACCATGCACAAATATTTCAATTGTACCCTGAGGTGGCTCGACTTCCTGGTGGGCATGGGTACCACGTGACACTCTTGCACATCGAAGGGCTCCCGGTCTAAAGGACACGACGGGCCGGTGCCCAGTCCGGCGCTCCCTTCTCGGCACGGTTCGCACAGCAGGTGGGAGCAGGGAAGCAGCACCGTGCTCGCGGGAATCGTGCCGCACAAGCAGCACACGTGAATCTGCGGGACGTCTTCGGCAAATCGGGTGTGCCTCCAGTTGACGCCGCCGACGGCGTGCCCGCTCAGCCGGTACAGCCTCGTTCGACGATTATCGGGCATGGTGCTGTAGATAACAACAAAAAAAGCAGGAGCTCTTACGGAATCACCTAAAAATATGTCTTTTGCAAGGACATAGAAGCAGATAGATAGATGTGTGGGGTTTAACGTCCCAAAACCACCATATGATTATGAGAGACGCCGTAGTGGAGGGCTCCGGAAATTTCGACCACCTGGGGTTCTTTAACGTGCACCCAAATCTGAGCACACGGGCCTGCAACATTTCCGCCTCCATCGGAAATGCAGCCACCGCAGCTGGGATTCAAACCCACGACCTGCGGGTCAGCAGCCGAGTACCTTAGTTACTAGACCACCGCGGCGGGCAAGGACATAGAAGCAATAGGCCGTTTCTTTTCATTATGTCACCGATATTCTTATTAAAGAAAAAAAAGTACCCTCTCGATCCAATTGAGAAGCTCAGTTTTTAAATAAATGTTGCAGTAATAATATCATTCGGAGGGATTACGTTAGGTTATAGTCACAGGGAGGTTTGCTCTGCTGTATTTGCGTACATAAATGAATTAAAAAAAGATTACGTTTTTAGTATATTATCATCTTCGGCTCCAAGTGCTTGTCTGATTGCCTGACTGCTCGCTCGTGCAGCATTTTAATTCATTTTACCTTGGATGGTTTTCAATACATAACTTACTGATTTAAAGATTCTGATGAAAGGGAACATCATCATCATCATCATCACCTTTGAAGGCAGATTTTAGTAACGTTAAACGAGTTGTGTGTATGACCGACACATCTGTCAACACGCGTAAAGCAGAAGAGTATTTCTTTTTTCATTTTTTTTTACTATCGTGATGCCATATGGGTAGGATTGTTCGACAATGTCCTGCGCAATTCTAAGTGCGCACCGGTCTGCACGTTAATAAACAGAAACTGTTTTTTTCAAACAAAGTGCGTTTGAAGTTGATGCTCTATCCTATCCCCTGCCTTTTTCCCCCGTAATCTACGTGTGTTGCGTCCTTCACATTTTCGCCAGAATGAACCAACTAGCCCAACTACCCAGTATAGTAAGCCTTGTGAATCCTTCCCTCACTGCAAGCTTTTGTATGCAAGCTTTCGCGTCGTCTCACCTACTACTTCCCCTCACCCCCCACTCCCTTATTTTTGATATCCTATCACACAGCACACGGGGTGGTGCCTGGATGATCGAGCCAGGAAACACAAACAAAAATTTAAGAAAACGCATATTTGGTGCAGTTGCGCGCTGTTAAGACTGCACTTGAGATCCAAGATCAGGCTGGTCTGTCTACAGAAACAAGGAATGCCTTTGCCCGAAACTGTCGGCGAAGGTCTGTAGGTCAGCGCGGCACACATTTGTACATAGCAAACTCAATGTCCAGTCGGGAAACACTTGTACGATGCATCCACTACTAGTGGTGCAGGTGGGCACACTAATCCTTTTCACATCCGGTATCGCAATACTGTGCAGGGCACCATAGAGTTTCCTAAAACTAACTAGAGGGGATTCTGACGCTGTGATCGTTCAGCGACCATTGGAATGATGGGTAGTACACGCATTTGCCTAGTCTTCGTACTTGAGGGCGGCGAATCGTACTTGCTACTTCGTTTATTGCTGTGTTTGGATTTTGTTTTGAAAGAAAGATTCATCCCTTTTGAACTTCGTGACCCGATTTGGAAAGGTAAGTCTAAAAGAATAAGATGGTGAAGCGCAACCACTGACCATTTGTTAATATTTGTTTCGTAAGAAAACAACTCCAAGCCACACGAACACACACGGAGCCAAAAGCAGACCAGAAGTGCGAATATTAGACAAATGTGTGTACTACCCATCATTCCCATGCTCGCTGAAGCGTCGTGCGTTGCAGCTCCTATAGACACTAGCGCCAGAGTTCTCTCTATGGTATATTAGGAAACTATATGCAGGGCACGGAGATCTACTAACTTTTCTTTTTTTTTTTGTCGAAAGTGAGCTGACGTGTTTTTAAAGGGGGAAGAGGAGACTTTCTTGTGCTAAGCTGAGCAATGGGGACGAAGGATTCTCTATAGATGCAAAATATGGAAGACGCGTGGTTAAAGCGCACAACACCGTTAATGGCGAGATCGCGGAGGCAGTGTTGTCGACCGCTGTCGATAAAAGTACCGCGGCTGGCGCAGCATCCCTATCTTCTTTTTTTTCCCCACTACCTAGTTCACGCGAGAAGAGATTTCGCAGGACTGTACGGCACATGGTATTTATTCGTTATAGTACGAACACTCATTCCTTTGTTGTGTAGACAGACATTTCTCTTTCGCGAGTCTTCCGTTAAGTCCGAACCAGCGATGTTTAGAAGAAAGCCTACTTGAAAATATTCTAGTGCTATTAATGCAGCACCCAATGACATAGCTTGAGTAAAATTACTTACCCTCGTATTCGGAAACGATCCTTCACTTCAAATTGACTTCTTACTACCTTCAAAGCATGTAGCACAAACGCCTTTCAAATGCTCTGCGTTGAATGCGGTAGCAAGTTAAGGTCGAGTCATTGGGCGCTTCCGAATACGGGGTTTAGTTCATTGGTGGTCGTTAGTGATACTAACAATATGCTTGGCATTCAAGTTCTGAAACGCAGCAACATTATTCAATATCAGTCGCACTCAATAAACAACATCCCCGAAATACAGTGTATTCCAGTAGCTGTATTCTTGCATATGCATTCCAGGATACTATTTCGCCTTTTTAACAAAAGTATGTCTGGTATATCCCGTTAGTTCTAGGACAATTATATCCCAGTATTTGCATTTCAGGCTGCCTGCACGCGCGTTCCGATATCCGTATTCCAGAACAACTTTCTCAGTACCTCTCCCAGCCCTGCTACGCAGTATAGTTCTGCGCTAGACGACACTTGCAATTCGCAGGAAGACAGTAACACGCCGTTAACGCTGCTCGTGCAGCAGGGACGCAGTGGCAGACGGCGGAGATTATAAGAAACAGTCTCATACTACTTACCATCTCACGACTGTCGGCGTCGGAGCACGTCCTTTCAAACGCTGCGGAAGGCCTCGATGTTAACCGCGGCGCGATACGCGGCGACCACGTTGTGAGATCGCGAGTTTTAAGAACCGCTGCCGACGCGAACGCCCTCACCGCCGCGTGTCTGCGGCGCGCATCGATTGGCTGTGCGCGCCGCAGACGCGCTAGTTGAGAAACTATGTTACGAAACCCGGAAATTCCCATCAACCAACGAAAGGAGGTTAGGAGAGGCACGTGCCATCTGGGAGCTGTGACACAAAACACTGCGCACCCTTTGAGCCGCAGAGTAATCAGCCATGCGTGTTATCGCATAAGTTACGGTAGCTAGAATTGGAGACGAGGGCGTATCCAGGAATTATTTAGCGGAAAGGGGGTGGGGGGGGGGCGGTGAGCCACTCAATGTGTATGTTATTGCGTTCGTTTGTATTTGTGCTTGTACATGCATTCGTATAAAGTATTTAAAAAAAATTTAGGAGCCTATGTTGAGAGGATTACAGTTAGGAAAGACCGGCGTGTTTTGCGCCCGTATGTCATTTTTCAGAAGGCAAGCCGTGAAGTTATGCACACTTTTCGCTTCATGAAGCTTGCGAGCTGGTGCGAAGTGGATTCCGTCAAGCATTCTAGTTTGTTTCTTCGCCAGCCGGTGGCGCTAAAATCAGTTAGTTCCACAATTCGAGGCGCTGTCATGTTTGGATTTTGATACACTTCTAGTACACTCTACCTTTAGGTGCCTGTCCGGAGTTGCGCCCGAATGACGGAAGAACTCCCAACTTCGAATTTATTGCGCAAAGACGGGCAATCCCCTTCGAATTTCTTACTTGCTGGCGCCGCTTTGTCTCCTGGTGGCTTTCGTATACATCGCCGCAGACGTCGCATGGCGTCGGAGATATGCGTCGGTATTCTCACTGTCTCGGACTCCATGCACGGCGTGGGCTTGTTTACGTCGCACGGAGTTTGGCGCGTGTGCCGTTGCACTGCCGGTGGTCAAGGTCGCGTACGATAGAACGGCGGCTGCCTGTTAGCGTCGTAGGCAGCGGCTTCGGGAAGTTCGCTTGCGCGGCAGATTAGGACACGACAAAGAAATAAACTTGGAGCGCATGGTGTATATTGAAGAACGGCGTTCTATTTGCGCAATAGGGCATCGTAGAGGCCTCATTCTATGAGTATTAAAAAATATAGGAACATACACAGATGCATACAGTGCTGTCTCTACACGTGTGCGATATCTGTTGCTCAGTCACTGTAGTGCCATTGAAGTCATGGTACCCACGCCCATCACTGTAGTCAGTTCAGTAAAAATAAAGTTAGAAGCTCCTACTCTATCGGAAAGCTGGGACAAGCGAAGTGTTACGCATACGTGTGCGTGTCTCAAGTACTTCTTTATTTATTTATTTATTATTTATTTATTTATTTATTTATTTATTTATTCATTTATTTCGCGTCACGCTATGCTTCTCTAAGTTTTCTCTTCCTTTGTAGCGGGAATTAAACTAGCAACCACGAGTTTCAGTTGCCACGAGCAAACACGACGATCATGCGTTCATATCCAGGCGTCGGTGAAACCGCGGCGATGGGAAATGACAGGTCAACTCGACAAAAGATAAGAATTGTCATATGGCAAACGGCTGATCACTGGCAAGACCAAGAACGAAAGGTCTTCAATTGTTGGAAAACGGCGCAAACGAATAAGCATGCGACCGGCGCAACTGCAAGGAGTGCATCTCTGCACGCTCGCCGGCGCCATGTGTGGTTCCCGTACGCCGTGGCCATCAAAATGTCAGAGTTACAGCATGATTTCCTTTAAGCTACGGCCTTGTCTTCCGGACCCTTGTTGCGACGTCACTAGACTGACGGTGTTTTAAACGAAGTAACTCCGCTCTGGCGTCTACCGCGGAAGCTACCTGCGAAGTGATAGCGGTCTTTGGTAGCTGTCCGACGTAAACGATGGTCCAGCGGTTGCCAGCCGACGCCAGAGAAAGTGGTCCACAAAAATCCTGACGTCCGTGCGACTGTCCAGGACGTATTTTTTTGGAGATGACCCACTAGAAAACCCTCGAGAGTGAAACTAACTACTAAGTCTCAAGGCTTCGCTACACGGTCCGTTATATCGAAGACTATAGCACCACTGGCGTTCCGAGAGATGTGGTTATCGCCCACTCTCTTGATTGATTGATTGATTGATTGATATGTGGGGTTTAACGTCCCAAAACTACTATATGATTATGAGAGACGCCGTAGTGGAGGGCTCCGGAAATTTAGACCACCTGGGGTTCTTTAACGTGCACCGAAATCTGAGCACACGGGCCTACAACATTTCCGCCTCCATCGGAAATGCAGCCGCCGCAGCCGAGATTCGAACCCGCGCCCTGCGGGTCAGCAGCCGAGTACCTTAGCCACTAGACCACCGCGGCGGGGCGCCCATTCTCTTCTACGGCGCTTTAAAAACTAAAGCGTAAATGGGGAATTTGTACTTCCCGGCTTCACAATGTTTTCTCTGACCACGATGTACAAAATTCACAATGCGAGGCGATCGATTGATTTGTGGGGTTTGACGTCCCGAAACCACGATAAGATTGTGAGACGCCGCACTGGATGGCTCCGGAAATTTCGACCACCTGGGGTTTTTTCGACGTGCACCCAAATCTGAGCACACGGGCCTACAACATTTCCGCCTCTATCGGAAATGCAGCCGCCGCAGCCAGGATTCGATCCCGCGACCTGCGGGTCGGCATACAATTCGAGGGGAGGTGAGTTATTTGCGAAGTCAAGCAATTCCACTGGAAAGAACAAACATGCAAGTGCGTAGTGAAACGCGGAAGCGTTTCGATCATAACTGGGACCCTTGCCATACGAATGGCGATCTAAAAGGACTGTAAACCAATGACGTGAGGAAATGAGGCGAAAAAAATAAATGGGAAACTGTGCGAATGAACGACGCACTAGCTTTTTGCGTTTTTGTAGCCGTTGTTCAGGAGTCGTTTCAGTTATAATATATCCGAAATTATGTAGCTCTGAACTTTATCTGTGCCGTCTCCCTTACAAAACGGCAATGCCCCTCGAAGGCTCTGTAAAGTACCGTATATAAAGCATCGAACGCGTTATTCAAAGGTCGTAGGTTCGATTCCTGCTCACGGCAGGTTATTTTTTCACCCACTTCCCACTTTTCTTCCTTCTTATTTACATTACAGTTGTTCTAACAACCTCCCCTATACATCGGCATTATTGTCGGTTTGATCTCATTAATATTGTGTCAAAAACACGGAAAAACGAGCCCTTACGTATACACTTCTTTCCCTATATAATATATATACTCTCGCATGATTCTCTCTTTCACAATTCTCTCTTTCACAAACAACGTGATAACAGTTTATCGATCACGGATGGCAAAAACGGCTGGTTCTATTATGTTTTGAAGCTATGACGTGGCCATGGGGCAGCTACAGGGGCGGTATACACGATAACCTCAGAATAATCACAACTTTATATCTTCTTGCGGTTACGTCAGGTGGAGCTCACGAGGCTACCCAGAGCAAGATCATTGAGAGACACAGCCAGCGCATTTCCTCGTCAGCGCAGTACTCGGAACTTTCATGTCTGAAGGTCAGTCACCCACCACCGCGGCGGATACCAGACATGTGCACTTTTTTCGTGAGCACCCCGTCATGGGCGTCAACTACAGGCCCACAAGGCTCGTCGAGAAGTTGCCCCATTTGCGCGTGTGTGACGTCTGCCGCATGGTTCCAAAGTTGATACAGCTGTTGCCGTGCGATCACGTCCTGTGCGTAGTGTGCCACAAATCCAGTTGCGAAGGCGTCGAAGGGATTTCCCCTAATGGGCGCTGTCCCATGGATGGAAAATCGTTCTCAACGTTGGAATGCAGGGGCCACGACTTTCGCGACATGAATCCAGGCGACCTGAAGGTGAGAACCGAACTCTATTGCGGAGACAGTGTGCCCTATTCGGTGGCCGCCGGACATTCGTTTTCAGGGCAGCCCTTACAGTCCTGTCGCTTGGTCACTAAGGTTGACAGCTAGGCTAGTTGGTGACTGGACCTTATCCCTTAATGTGAAGTAGCGCACTTTGGACGGGGACAAAGGGGTCGCTCTTGTGGGGTCCTTACGCGGAGGACACGGCATTGTCGTGTTCTTCGGACGCGACAGAAGTGTCATCTTTGTCCGAAGTACAAGCCACTCTTGTCGTGTCTTTCGGACAAAGACGACGTGCCTGTCTTTGTTCGTGACCATAGTGTGATACTTAAGCCTACGGTACGATATCATGGTCATGCAGTAGTGAATACAGGGCAGAAACAGGGCTAACGACACTCTAAAGCAATGCAAAATAAACAGACGAGGTGAAAAATACTGTAAATTACACAGTTAACCCACACGGTATCGTAATAATTTACTTCAAATCATGGAAAAGACTACCGAATTATGGGGCTGAGACCCGCGCCGCACGTGAGGCCACCACCTGGACGAGCGTGCGTGATTGCCAAAGGAATCGCTGGGTGGCCCTTGCTGCGCACCTTCTCGGTCTTCATGGTAGCGGAGCCGCATTAAGCGCAATATTTAGAACTGTACGCAAGAATCACATTATCGCGCGATTCTTCATTGTCGCTGTGTGTGGCCACTGCACCAATCTACACCCAGAAGTGCACGGTGAGAATAGTGCGCCTTATACGCGAGCCTTGCAGTGGTTGCACCCGCTGCGCCAGACATGAAAGCTTCAACGGCGTCGCATGTGGGCGCTACCGACAGCTAATTCCGTTTTTGCGGGGCGTATACCCGCTAGTGACTAAAACCACCCTCCGGAGCATGCGCCGTTTGAGAACGGAGCACGCAAGATTTTGCGTTAGCGCTCGTCGCCATTGCGCATGCGTCATACTCTCTCCTCTACTGCCCGCGTCAAGTGATGGAAGTAGTGGTCGTCACCCAATAAAAACGTGGCGTATACGTGGCGTACTTCAAGATTACCTCGTATAACGCTGGCCTTAAATACACTGGTAAAATGACCCACTACTCTTTCCTAGGAATGTTGGTTTGATTGGTTGTCTGACAAAGAAACTGGACTCTCGAACAATCCCCGTTGTTGCGTATACTGACAAAGTGAAAGCGGATATCAGATGAATAAGCAGCTTTCCGTTTTTTTTCTTTATTTTTTCATGTCAAGGTCTACTGCTGGAACGAGGCTAACGGATGCCAGTTCGTTGGGCCCATGGAAGAGATGCTGCGCCACTACGACAACGACGAATGCCAATTCCACGTGGTTCGCTGCTTCCGATGCGGCGCTCGCGTCCTCCACCGGAAGCTCTCCGCGCATTACTTGTCCGCGTGCAATTACGCTCTCACTTCCTACGGCGAAGACTACGCTTCTTCGGACTCCGCGGCGACGATTGTCAGAATAGTGCATGCTTCTCTGAAAAAAATGAACGCGGTTCTGACGAACCCGCACCACTACCAGCTAGAGTCGACCTTCCGGAACTGGATGAAAGAGCTGGTCCAACAGTTGAGAGAACACGAATCCCGCTTGGCAGAGTTGAGTCGCGAGGTGAAGGCACCGGCACAGCCCGGGAGTTCTCGGGCTTCGGCTCCGACTTCACCCGTGACGGAGTACCAGCCGAGGAACTTGGGCGACTTATTGGAGGACGCGGCGTACATGCGACTGTACCCTCCGATCTTCTTCGCCGATTTGCCTTCGGACCTTATGCAAGCTATGCGACCGACTTCCCTCCAGGTGTACCCACAGCACGCCTTCTCCAAGGACTCGGTGCGGGGCGTTCAGGGTATTCTGTATTTGGCCGAGCCTACGCTGACCACGCGCAGTTGGTCGGAAGTCCGTGGTCCGGCACGGTACCTGCTCACCCTGAGAAACTGCGACACCGATGTACCGTTGAAGGGAGAGGACGTTTTTCTCGCCAAGGTTACCGTGTTGCACACGCTCAACTGTTACTTTACCGTTGAAGTCTCTGTGGGCTACCGGTTGATCTATGTGCGCGTTGAGCTTCACGGGGCGGGCGCGCAGGGACCGCAGGGCTCGTTGATTTCCCTTGGGGTGACGGTGTTCGACGGGCAACCCACCAACGGCCTTCAGATGTCCTATTGCGAAGATCCGTGTTTTTGTAAGCGTGACGCAGACCGATTGCTGCACTTCCGCCGTACCTACACGGGAAACGTATATTACCTGAAAAGGAAAGGTTTCTTTCGCGACCGAACGATGCAGTTCCAGATCGAACTCACGCACAACCAAACTGCGCGTTCGTAACTCTACAGCGCCTAGCTCAAGTTTTAGTCATTGCCTATCTCTTATTAAATCATCGTATGTCCATTTAAATTGTGACGCGTGCGTTTAGCATGATTTTAGCGAAGTGTTGACTGCAGTTCAATAAAGTGGTGGCTGCGAAAATTACTGTGCTTCATTCTTCATGCCTGTCAAGTGGTTTCTTTTTGTGTTGCTTTAGGGAAAAGAACAGATGGTTAGGTTTTGTTTCGTTCGTTCAAGTGTTGAGTGGTCACACTGACGCTTAGTTTTTAATTCGTAGCAGTTTAACCAAATTGCGTAGTGGTAGCCGCGAATGTTAATGTAGGGAGTTCTCGCGGTGCTCGATGATTTACTATGATTAACTAGTTCTTGCGCAACATTTCTTAGACTGTGGACGAAACAGACTCGGTTGGGCGCAAGACTCGGTTGGCCCATGTCTCGGTTGGCCCATGTCTGTTTCGTCCATTGTCTAAAAAAATTGTGCAAGAACTTCACGGGGTGTCGACCACAAGCCGGCGAAATTACTATAGTCGACTGTCTCTGATTCAGATAGAGCCACGAGTCTGAGTGACTGCGGGTGAGCAATACTTTGGTCAATTTGAGTCCAGTTGAGTCTGCTCGAAGAAAACTTTTGCAAGTGCGAGTCCAGGCTAGTTCGCCACAGAAAACATTTAGTTTGAGTTCGAGTGAGTTAAAACCACAGTATGTGTTTCTTGCGTAAGTTCCAGCTTCTTTGACCAACCTGAAGGACTCCTATCTGGTCATCTTCAACATACGATCAGCCTTGTCTCTTTTATAGCTTATACTCATGTCTGCTTGCAGGTTTTCTAAAGCAGTATCGTTCATACACTACAATATTATTGAAAGGAGGCGCGAATTATGTAGGGAGGGTGCCTTGACCTCCAACCAACCAAAATTTCAAGAGGAGTTGGTAAATATATCTCATGCTGTTATCTATCCGCAGAAAAAAATAGCCCTTCTAATTTCAATCACTCGAAACTCGTTTTCGAAGACAGCGTGTCAAACGGTGCCAAAAAAAAGCCCAAATTACATGAGATATTGTCGTTAAGGAGCGCTGACACCATGGTCGAAAAAGCAAATTCTTGGCTAACCGGCTAACAAGTCGACCCACTCGAACTCACTCAGATTGAGCCGCGAGTCCGAATCTGGCTGACTCCGGGTGAGTAATGTTTTGGAGGGTCTCAGTTTAAGCGATTCCAAAGCTCAAGGTATATTTCCTGGACGAGTCTGAGCTCCAGCACTTTTGCCGACCTATGGTGCCGACTAGCTGAAACCTACACCTTGTTGATGTTTTACGTTTTTTAGGGGCGAAGCTCTTTAGGGCGTGGGTCTGCACATCCTCTGAGGTATGCAGTCGTAGTAGTAGGTAGCCACCTCTAGTTTAATTATTGCAGTGTTCACTAGATGGCAGCACTTGTAGTTGACGAAAGATGGGAGATGATATAAAACTAGATGGCGGTACTTAAAGTGTTCCCTAGATGGCGGTACTTGTAGTTGATGATGGAAGATGCGAGATGTTATAACAGGAGTGATGTCACATATGGCGCGTGTCACTGGTGGAAGGCTATCGTTCGATTTAGTGCGGCGACGTACGCTAAAAGGAGCGTTGCGATAATAAAACTCGTTCGCTGTTGGCGCGTGCCCGGAGTCGCCGGATGAACAAGGCTGCAGAGCGGCGAGCGCGCAAGGCGGTGGAAGCGCACGCTCTCACAAAATTCCGATGTGCGAGCCCGCGAGGCAGAAGCGCGCCGTGAAGCTGCGCGATGCCGCCGCCAAGATCCTGCCGTACGAGAGCGGGAGGCCCAAGCGGCACGACATACACACACAGCGTTCCTCACGTCTTTAAATGGTGATCGACTGGGTGAAATACTCGGAAGACTCAAGGTTCAACGATGATTCCCTCCCAGTCTTCACCATTTACCCCGTTGATACTGTTATTTTTTTTAGACTAACGTTGACGTTTTTCAAAGGTGAAGCTCGCGCGTTCCGCTGGGAATAAGAATATTTCCGTCGTCAGCTACGACGGTCGTCATCGCGCCTACCAACGCAGCCAGGCAGCATACAAAACTAGCATGCATGACGCACTTGCAATGCACGCGTACGCCCGGAAATGAGCCCACGCTAACGAGCTTTTTTTATGTTTTGTTGCTTGGACAGAACTTAGTGCTGATGTGTTATGGCACGTGCATGTGTTATGGCGCGTGCATGTGTTATGCACTATAGGGTTAGACGTAATTGAAAAACAAATAGTCTTCCTTACGGCAGTAAATGACAGCCTAATGTCTTACCCAATATCTTCGAAAACTCTGGCGTGCTAATACACGACGAATCGTTCAAGGTATTTGTATACATCTCAGCAGCAGTATATGTATATCAGAACACACGCTTTAGTGTTGCGAAGCTATCTTAGTAAGATGAAAGTGGTTCTGACAAGTTAATACATTTCCAGTTTATTAAAAAAACCTCAAAGATGCACATAGGATAATTAACTCTGAGAAGTATGGTGCAAATATTCTGCTCTGACTAAATGAGCGTGTCTTTAGTATCATTTCGGGCATTTAATGCTCACAATCTGCGGCCACACTTGTATGTGCACTCGAGTTGCACCACGAGTCTCTAACAAAACGGTGAATACGTCGTTGTCTTGGACGCCACAAATCTTTCCACATCAGCACTATCTGGCGATTTTCCAACTGTATTTGTGTTTATCCGCCGTTCTTTTTTTCTGTGTCTGCAGCATTTAGCTTTCCTATTGCATGCCCAGTTGCTAGCGCGTGCTAGATATCGAGTCTTTCCTATGCTATTTTGTGCAGCAGACACGCTGAATCATTAATTTGTCGTTTTCTATTGAATTATGGTATCTCGGGTTTACGGCATCATAACCATGACAATATTAGGCCCGCCGTTGTGGACGGCTTGGGAAGTTTCGGCTATCTTGTGTTTTTTAACCTGCACTGACATCGCCGAGTTCACGGGCATCTAGCATGTAGGCTCCACCAAAATGCGACCGCCGCGGTAGGAATCGAACCCACGGCTTTCAGGTCTACAGCAGAGCAGGGCAACCGTTATGACCATTCCAGGGGTGGACATCGCTCTTTTTTATTGTAGATTACTGGTTCTCCACGAGGTTATATAGTACAACTCGACTTCGATTCTTTATATGTCCTGTAGACACCACGCGTCCATTCTACAGAATGCTGCCCCACCTTCTTGTTGCTTTCGCCGCAGTGTCACGGGGGCGGCCAGTGTGCTGTGGTGCAAGTACACGTCAATTACATCCGTGAGCACGGTTAGCTTGAACAAGGCATTATGTTCCGTACAGCTTATAGGGCCCCCTAAGTCACACCGAGTTCGAAGACGAAACAGTAGTTCCTTTTTCGCCTTCACTACCCTTCCCACTAGTTATATCTTCTCCTCGCCACTTATTTCTTCACAGAGCACGTTGAATGTCCACTAGAAGCGTTGAGGCAGTCAGTGTTTCGAGCTTTTCTAACGTACGTTGCTATCTCTGCTTGCGCAGTCGCAAATGCAGAAAATGAAGTGAAATAAATTTATTTATCGCTCACTGTAGTCATGCGAGATAATGGTGAACGGGCGTACGATTGCATGACAAAGCAGGGTACGAAAGAACTCGCAAGATATGTCTCGCACATGGATCAATCAGGAGCTTATTTGATCCCGACGTCACATGAGCACACTGCTGACTACACGTCTTGTGGCGGGAGGATGGGAAACGCTGGGAGGTAATAAAGCAGTCGTTTTTTTTTTCTTCCAGAGATTGTGTAGAGGCCCTTCAACGTGGAAGCATGTACCAGCACCGTCACAAAGCTCGGCACATGCGCAGTTCGTCTGCTGCGTGGTCACCTTGCTGTAGATGAAGGCGGACATGTTGTAGGCCCGTCTGCTCAGATTTGAGTGCACGTTAAAGAACCCCAGGTGGTCGAAATTTCCGGAGCCCTCGACTACGGCGTCTCTCATAATCATATGGTGCTGTTGGGACGTTAAACCCCACAAATCCAAATCCATCTGGTTACCTTGCTGTAGTGCGCAGCGCGCGCCGTGATAAAACAGTCGCACATGTTCCGAGCGTCGTGCGTGGTGCTGGGAGGCGTCCGCTGTTAAAACTGTATCGGACGTGATATCGTGTTCCCACAAGCCGTGCTCACGGCCGTACATTCGGGTGCGATTTGAAGGTTATCACGCGAGCGTTGACCGGCCAAGCATCCAGAGGCCCCAGTGGAATGTTTAGGAAGAATAACAATCAAGATTTCGCTTTCTTCTATCCCTAGTTGGCTCTTCTATGGTGTACGACAATCACCCCGTTGACGAACTCGTCCCCCTCCCCTTTCTCTCTATTCTAAGTGTTCCATTCGTTGCGATCAAGCGTAACTTGGTAGGCTGTTGTCTTTCCGCACGATAACAACGTTGGCGGGAAAGCTCTTGTCAACCTTCATTTGAGTGACGTGCTATGTCGCGCAAAATATAGGCATCGCATCGTAATACTGACTTCACTAGCCAATAGAACTGTGCCAAACGTTTTCGCACAGGGGTGTCAATGCTGCAATGCTGGATGTGACCCCAGACTAGTTGCCGCAAGAAAATGCCTCGACGGCTTACATTAGAGGAACGTCGTGAAATTATTTCTTTGGGAAGGTTTATGTCCCAGCAAGAGATTTCCCGTAAGCTGAACCGGCCACAGAAGACAATCAATCGCATTCTTCGAGCATTTCACCAGGAAAACCGCTTGGAAGATGCACTACACCAAAGGAGGCCTAGAAAACAACTGTGGAGGAAGATGCCTTAATAATAGCTACCGTGGTCAAAGACCCTTTCTCGACAACAAAGAAAATAAAAAAAAAAGAACTTGGCCTTTCCCTCAGTCCTTCGGCTATCCGAAGAAGACTTCGTGCTGCCGGTCTGAAAAGCCACGTTGCGGCTAGAAATCCGCTTTTGACCAGTGAACATTGAAGGAAACGTTTGGACTTCGTGCGTCAGCACGAACATTGGAGGGCTGAAGACTGGCAGCAGGTCATCTTCAGTGATGAATCGACGTTCACTTCTTGCTGGAACCAGCGACTTCGTGTTTGGAGAGTCTGTGGCAGCCGGTGAGGTTTATATTGCTT